TTACAAAATCTTACAGTAAATATATGAAAATTGATATCTATTCAAAAAATAAAGTGAGTGAATTGACATGAAACAATTATCTACTTGAGTTATTGAAAACAACGCACCAGCCATCAGCAAGAGATCGTGATCGTGATTGACTGCACATATATATTCGCCACGTATGTAGGTACGTGTGTACAAGATCATACCATATAATTCTTCAACATTTTGGTGGTTTCTAGATATTTCATTAATATGGAGGTAAATTGAACATTGTTTTCAAACGAATTTTAAAATAACAAATGTAGTATCGGAAAGTTTCGAAAGAAAGTCAACAAATGACCTTGAATCATGTTTTGAGTGATTGTTGCACCTCGTAGTGCGATGTGTCAGACGTTCGTGTTTTTAGATTAATTTATTTATTTGATCCATTTTCGATAATTTATTTACACAAGATTTTTTTGGATCATTGGATTTGTTATATTTTGTGGAAGAAATGAATAAATTATGAATAATAACGAACGATTTACGCATTAATGTTTATTTGGCAGGTTAGTATTTTCGATATTTTAGTACTTTCGTTAACTGAAAGTTGCCATTCTAATGTTTATTTTTATATTAACAAATATTTATATTTTGCTTTCCGATGCATACATTATAATTACATTTTCATTATGCAAAAATTTAATTCGCAGTATTATTTCTTTCCTATTTTGATTTATAATGATTATGATTATTGTTATAATGATTATTATTATTGATTATTTAATGGAAAAAATATTGAATTTATTTTATGCTATTTGAATTTTTTTTATGCTATTGAACTTTGTTTTTCTTTTTTTATTCTTCTCTTAAATTGTATTTAAATTTTATTTGAATACAAAATAAAATTTAAAATTATTTATAAAATATAAAATCATAAAATTGCATCTCTGTATATCTTATTAATTAAAATTAAATTAAAATCTGTTTATTTTATGATTTCCATGAATTGTTATATATATAATATTATATTATTTTTTTTTATAATATTTTAATTTATTTTATATTTTGTAATTTAATTTATTTGTATAATATTTTCATTATACAAATAATAATATATTAGATTTTTTATTGTTTAATTTTTTTTCTTATAATACAATATGTATACATTTTTCTAAAAAATATAAAACTATTTCATTCTAATATATTTTACTTTGATTTAGGCTTTGTATCAAGTGCACACTTTAATAATTACTACAAAATCTTTCTTTTTGTCTTCCACATTATATTTGTGTAAGAAAAACAAACAAAGATGAGTTGTGTTCGTTGCTGTGTCATCAATGCTGGTCGTATTGCATCTTCAAATCATGTAACAAATCATGGTGAGCATATAATATAAATATTTTAAAATTACATAATATTAATTATTTGTTTTATTTTAATAAAAAATAATTATTTATTTATATATTAGTTCACAAAATTGTGAGAGTTGCTGTTATTAGATCATTAACGATTGGTAATACTTTGGGAAAAGCACCTACTGAACCTACTCCACCTGGTAAAGATAATAATAGTGGTGTGTCCTCTGTTGGAAATGGTGGAGGAAAGAAAAATACTCTTACTTGTCCAAAATGTGGTGATCCTTGCACACATGTAGAAACTTTCGTGTGTAAGTAAATAATGCCTTAATATTTTTTTTTGCGTAAGTAAAATATAAAAATAAAATTTCTTTCATCATAAAAATATCTTTTTTATTAGCATCAACAAGATTTGTTAAATGTGAAAAATGCCATCACTTTTTTGTTGTATTATCAGAGGTAGATTCAAAAAGAAGCCTTAAGGAAGCTTTAAGACCAGATGATACCAAACAAGGATTTTACAGGAAACCTCCACCACCACCAAAAAAAGTAAATTTTTATTCTAAAAAAACAAAGGATTTTATATAATTTTACAATATATTATTATATTATATCTATTAATATATATATTTTACAGATTTTTGAGTACCTAAACAAGCATGTTATAGGTCAAGAATATGCTAAAAAAGTTCTAAGTGTTGCTGTTTATAATCACTATAAACGAATCTACAATAACTTTCCAGTACAAAATTCAATGCAAAGTTCTATTAATACAACTGGTTCACAAGATTTAAATCATCCTTTCACACATAGAGGTCTTAAACCACGTAAATAATAATTTTCCATTTTGTATGTACAATAACATGTTTTTTTGACAGTAATTTAATATTCAACTTTTGTGGTTTTTCCAATATAATGTTTTTTGTATCACGTTTTTATAAATTGTTATTAAAATTTTTAATTTAATATATAATTATTTCAGTATATAAAGTTTAATAATGTTTATCTTTCATTATCATAGATTTATTACACATTTCAACAATTGGAAATTCGCTTGGTGTTGGATTTCAACAATATCCTACAGGAAATGAACATAAATCAGCCGAAAATCAATCAATTTCCGGATCTGATATTCTTGATAGTAAGCAACATCAATTAAAATTAGAAAAAAGTAATATTTTATTACTTGGTCCAACTGGAAGTGGAAAAACATTGCTCGCGCAAACAATAGCTCAATGTTTGGATGTACCTTTTGCAATTTGTGATTGCACGACACTGACACAAGCAGGATATGTCGGTGAAGATATAGAAAGCGTTATTGCAAAACTACTTCAGGATGCCAATTACGTAGTAGATAGAGCGCAAATGGGTATTGTATTCTTAGATGAAGTTGATAAAATTGGTGCTGTTCCTGGCATACATCAACTGCGCGATGTTGGCGGAGAAGGTGTCCAACAAGGAATGTTGAAAATGTTAGAGGGTACGATTGTGAATGTACCTGAAAGAAATAGCTCTAGAAAATTACGTGGAGATACATTGCAAATCGATACTACAAATATTTTATTTGTTGCTTCTGGTGCTTATAATGGATTAGATAGGTTGATTTCACGACGTAAAACTGAAAAATACTTAGGATTTGGTGCATCACGATCTTGTGAGAGTCCAGGAAGAAGAGCAGCAAATTTAGCAGATGTTGCAAACATGTCACCTTCTACAGAAAAGGATAATAAAGAGAAAGATGTATTGTTACAGCAAGTTGAAGCAAGAGATTTGATTGATTTTGGTATGATTCCTGAATTTGTTGGCAGATTTCCAGTTTTGGTACCATTTCATACTCTTGACAAAAATATGCTCGTTAGAATATTGACCGAGCCGCAAAATGCTATGATACCTCAATATCAAATGTTATTTTCAATGGATAAGGTACAAATTATCGTTTTAATAATCTCTTATTATACTTAATATAGCATATTATATAATTCAATAATCCATTTACTATATTTAAAATTACATTTATTTAATTCTTGCATATATGTATTTTAAGACTTTTAAATTGTTTGTATATATTCATAGGTAGACTTAACTTTTACGTCTGATGCTTTAAATGCAATTGCATCATTAGCAATGGAAAAAAAAACTGGTGCAAGAGGACTTCGAGCTATTATGGAATCATTACTCTTGGAACCTATGTTTGAAGTGCCAGGTAGCGATGTAATGTCTGTTCATGTAACTGAAGGATGTGTGCGAGGACAAGAAAAACCACAATATATCAGAAGAGGTGATGTTACTGAGGAAGAATTACATGCTCAGCATATACATAATTAACAAATAATTCATGTTGAAGATACATCACATATTTGATCGATTTTTTAAGAAAATTGTTCAAAATTCACATTCTGCAATAATAGTTTTTGATCTAATATAAATTTGTAAATAATGTGTTGACTGTAATCTATGTTTTTTTTAATGAAAAGAAACAGATTACACCACACAAATTATATATATGGCAATTGTAATTCTATATTAACTTATTTCATAAAAAGTTATAGATATAGGTAAATCAAATCAATTGTGGTATGTATTTTTTGTTCAAGTAATTCGTAACAATATAAAAGATTTTGTTACTGAGTTGTTCTTAAATATATATAAAAATTATATAAAGATATGTGTGCAAACACATGTATAAAAACGTCTATACATAAAAAAATTTCATTTTACATGAAGAAAAAATTGTGATTTTTCTAAATTAAAATCATTTAAATATATTTAGATTAGTAAATTATAATACAAAAATAAGTTGCAAATACAATATTTTTATATTTTCTTTTTGCATCTCTAATTATAATTTATGCGGTTGCTCTATATGCTCTCATTACAGATAGAAAACAAAATTAATAAATCTATTTATTAATATTATATAATATTATGTAATATATATAAATGATTTCTATACATACCATGTTAAAACTATTAAAAAGTATATAAGAATTACAAATATATGATCAAAATTGCACGAAACTAGTACAGATACATTATATATTGTTACATAAATATATCTTGTAGAAAACAAAATAATCTATAAAATAGATTCAACTTTTACTTTGATACTATTTCTAAATAATTGAAAGAATTTAAACAAAAATTTAGAAAAATTTTTTTATCAATTACTAAATAAAATATATTTAAGTTTTAAAATTGAGAGTGAATATATTTATATATAGATGATAAATTTTAATAATGTCGAATAAAATGGAGAAAAAAAAAAATAAGATTTTAAAAACTGCATGTATTTTCTGAAAATGATCATTAAGTATTTCTTAGATTTTATTGTCAGTTGTTTCATTTCATTTTACATATATGAAAACTAGATGTAAATGAAAGGCTGTGTATATATGATGCAAGTTAAAAAAAACTGTATACATATGAAATTGTAAACAAATGTTGAAAGTAAATATTATAATATTTTTAAAGGTACCAATATATTTATTTTTCCATTATGAAGAGTTGAAAGTCATAAAGTGTGAAACGATTTTTTATAGCTAATTTAGAATGGTTTCATAACTTGCATCTTTACAATTTTTAATTTTTATGAAGTAAGTATTTTAAATAAAATATGAAATAAATCTTTGCAAAAAAATTTATAAAATAAATATAATTTTTTCATATATACGATTTTAATAACAATGATATTCTTTTATTTCTCTTTTAAATATGTATATTTAAGTTTCATAAATTATATATACAATAATTTGGAGAAATTTGATTCGTTTTTTTGTTTTGCAATAAACCAAAAGAGATTAAAGTGTTTAAAATTACTGAAAATGTTACATTATTGATTTGATTTAATAATAATAAATGAAAAAAATAATATAGTATAACAATTTTATATATATATATAAATACAATATGTATTATATATCTAGATTGATCAATACACACAAAGGGTATTATTACTAAACTAATATCAATGCTCTTTTATATATCATTATAATACCATTGTGGTGGATCACGTGTTGATTTTGGTTTTGGTCTTAGTATTGTTCTTAATTCTGTCAGTACCCATTTAACAACCCGCACTATGACAAGGTTTATGGAAAATTCCAAAATAAGAGCACCAAATCCTTTATATAAACCAAGAGGACCTTCAGTAGATATAATTGTACTGTAACAATCGCTTGCACCACTATATCCTGTTAATAATGGTGTTACGCTACGTCCTGTATCCAGATTATCAATAATAGTTCGTGTACCCTGAAGATGAAGTCTGTGAATCACTGTTTCCCAAGGATAAAACAATGCTTCTGCCATAAATGTAGAAATTAATGATGACTGTAATTCTATATCTTGTGCAACAGTTTCTGACAGCAAGTCTCTGCTATATGCACCCTTGATACATATAAATAACATTTAAATACATAGTTTTATATAAATTCAAGATAAAATTTTGTTTTGTCAATAAATAAAACATACCCTTAACTCTTGAGACTGTTTTTGCCTAATATGCATAATACGACTGGTAACTCCTTGAACAGCTAGAGTAAAAAGATATTTGGATACTCCATAAGCAACTGTAGGTGGCAGAAGAGAATAAATGGGAATTAATCTGCCTTTATTGCTCACTTCAACTAAACGAATTGCACCATCTCGAAAGACATCTAATATTCCAGGACTTTCAGATGCAATTTCAGATTGTACTGTCTCCACTAATGATGCAGAATAAAATGGTGTTACTAGACCTATAGAAACACTGTCATATTTTCTATTAATTTCTTCTGTAATTTTTAAAACAAGAGAAATGTAATAATATTGGTATATTATTACCATTTAAGAAGCACGTGTTGACCAAATGCTTTCAGTGAACTATTACATGTTATTTCCCTGAAATTAATAAATATTTCATTATTATTATTATTGTTATTATTTTATATCTATTATTATAAAAATTTGAGGGAAATTATTATATATTTAAGATCATACAAAGATCACCTTACTTTGGCCATGGTGTTATTTTAGAAATGAAATCTTCAATAGCTAACAACATTCCTTTTACAAGCAATACTGATCCAATTCCTTTCCATAATGTATTTATTCCTTGAGTTTGATGGAGCCGTACAACTACAGGTACCAAAGTAATTGGTATTATATGATATTTGTTCAATCCAGGATTTACTTGACATTGTCTCCTTAGAACAATAAGTGGATGAACTAACAAAGTTTCAGTAATTAAAGTTGCTAATCCACAACCAGCAACCATATATTTTTTTACAGCAAGATCTATATAAGATATTATTTATTTCTTTAACTTCATCAATGATTAAAAATTAAAAAGTTCTCTGTTTAAAATAATATTTCTACTATATTTTAATAAATTTCATATTTTAATTAAAACTGACCTCCTTCAGAAGGAGGACTATCTTCAACTAAAGGGTGCACAGCAGGAACTTCCAAAGGACGAATAACCTCTTGTGCAAGGTAAGTATGAGGAAAATTACTTTCAGTTTCCCAAGATTTAATAGGTTTTCCTCGATATACTCTTTCATAACTTTCCAATCCCGCCATTGTTTAAGAGATTAATTCTTAAAAATTATAATTCTGCACATTCTGTATTAAAACTATGTAATTCAATCAATTTCTCATTTCTTTTGAGTCGACTCCAAAATGATGTTCTTCTATACCACTTATAAAGTTGGTATATATGATATGCGATCATCACATCGCGCAATCTAGTAAATTACAAAAAAGCAAACGTAACTAAGAAATTATTACTTTTTAAGAAAATTTAAGTATTTCGATTTTTTCTTCTTGTATATAATGTTAAATATCATTCAATTAATGTAACAATAGTAATTTGTTTGTTTCGAATATTAAGATTGTTTAATCAATAATATTTTTGACAAACAATATATTCTTTATTAAAATTATTTATTTTTATTACAGCATTTATAAAATAAAATATAAATAAAATATAATGATTATTGTTTAATATATAAAGAAATAAGTATATTTTTTATATTTTAATCAAATTATATAAATATTATATAAATTTGAATTATAATATAATACGTAAAAGTAAATAATCATTTCATTATTATTTAGACTTGTATAGGAATTGTAATACAACTTTATCATATATTGATAAAATATAACATATTCAACATATGCTGAACTCTATCGAAGTAAGTTCTACATAAGTATGCAGATCTATATTGTATCATCGACGTGGAAATTACATCATTCAAGTTTCAATATTTTCAAATTATATTGAATCTTATATTCTTGTATCATAAAATTATAATCTTATATCGTAAAATTGTATTATTATAAAATTATATTTAAAATAATTAATTATAACACAATAAATTTAAAAAAATTATAATAAAAAAATAACATGCCGGCGATGGAGTCTTCTGAATCATTATTAGGTAAAATTTGTTTTTTAAAATTTTTAAAAATAAAATTTTTCATAATTATTATTATTTCGTAAAGGAATAAAAAAGTTTTATATTTTTTCTTTAGATGCAATTTATATTTCGCAAAAGAATGGAAATGATGAAACAGGTGATGGTTCTAAAACTAATCCTTTTAAAACAATTTTAAGAGCAATGTGTCATGCAGGAAAAGAACCATTTCCACCAATTTACCAAAATTCTCCTAAGGATGATAAAGAGTATGAATTAGTATCAAAATCTCAATTAAAAAAAAGTGCATAAAATTTGGGCAAGAAAAGAATATAAAAATGAAGATAACAAAAGAAATTATTAGAGGATGAAGAAAAAAGATTGAAAAATTTGGAAGAAGCTAAAACAATTATAATTCAAGAAGATAATACTTTGCCATCTGCAATTTGTATAAAAATTCGAGAAAGTATTAAATATCGGGATCAACGAGTAAAACTTTTAGGATGGGTACATAGACTTAGACGTCAAGGTATAATATAATTTATATATTATGAATTATATTTACTTTATAGAAATTTATTATAATATTTTTAGGAAGAGCACTTATGTTTATCACTTTGAGAGATGGAACAGGTTTTCTGCAATGTGTATTTACTGATACTTTGTGTCAAATATATGATGCATTGACCTTGTCTACTGAAGCTTCCATTGAAGTATTTGGAACTCTCAAGATTGTGCCAGAAGGAAAAAATGTATTATATCAAATATATTTGTAATTTTAATTATTTTAAAAAGCTTTTTAATTTTCTTAGCTTTTAATTCAATTTTCTTAGGCTCCAGATGGACATGAATTGCATGTTGACTTTTGGAAATTAATAGGAACATCTCCTCCTGGTGGTGCAGATTCTATTTTAAATGAAGAAGCTCTTCCTGATGTCCAATTAGATAATAGACATATTATGATTCGTGGTGAAAATGTACGATAATTATAACATACATATTTATATATATATATATTATTACATATATATATATATAATAAGCTATATAATAAAAAGTATAGTAAACTTAATTTTTACTATTTAAATATTATTATGGATAATTTTAATTAAAAAAATCTAAAAACTATAAAAGAAAAAATTGAGATCACAGAATAACACTACAATTTATATTATTATAGAATAATAATTTTTATTACATGATATCATATATAATATTACAAATTATAATTTATTTTAGACATCACGTATATTACGTCTACGATCTGTATTGACTCAAGCATTTAGAGATCATTTCAATGAAAGAGGTTGTTATGAAGTAACACCACCAACGTTAGTACAAACGCAAGTAGAAGGAGGTTCAACATTATTTAAGTTAGATTACTTTGGGTAAGCAGTATTTAAATTTAATTTGTTCATTTAAAAATATTCTATTCTTAATATAATGTAATTATTATTTAACAATCTAATTTTTCATTATAGTGAAGAAGCATTTTTGACTCAAAGCTCACAGCTTTATTTAGAAACTTGTCTTCCGGCAATGGGCGATGTATATTGTATTGCACAATCTTATAGAGCAGAACAATCTAGGACTCGAAGACATCTTGCAGAGTAAATATACAGACTTTGAAGCTTCTTATATTTCTTAGTGGTATTTTTATTAAAATTTATATTCATATTATTGATATTGCAATTGTTATATAAATCAAATTTTTATCTTTCAGATATACACATGTAGAAGCAGAATATGCATTTATTACATTTGAAGACTTATTGAATCGATTAGAAGATATGATATGTGATGTTGTTGATCGTGTGCTTAACTCAAATCTTGGTTATCTTGTTAAAGAATTAAATCCTGATTTTAAAATACCAAAAAGGCCATTTAAAAGAATGGATTACAAAGATGCAATTGAATATCTTCGGGCTAATAATATAACCAAAGATGATGGAACATTTTATGAATTTGGTGAAGTATGTTCAATAATTTTTAAATTTTTTGATTATTATTTCACAATGACGATGAGTTAATAATTTTATTAATTTTTTAATTTATAGGACATTCCAGAAATGCCAGAGAGAAAAATGACCGACACAATAAATGAACCTATAATGTTATGCAAATTTCCTGCAGAAATTAAATCATTTTATATGCAACGTTGTTCTGATAACAAACGTCTTACAGAATCAGTGGATGTACTTTTACCGAATGTTGGTGAGATAATTGGAGGTTCGATGCGTACATGGAATTATGATGAATTATTAGAAGGCTATTCTAACGCAAATATTGATCCAAAACCATATTATTGGTATACTGATCAGGTAGATATCAATTTTCATATATGATAAATATATGAATTAATTTTTCATGCAATCATATTTTAGCGAAAATATGGTACTTGTCCCCATGGAGGATTCGGATTAGGTCTTGAAAGATTTTTATGTTGGCTTCTGAATAGGTATCATATACGGGAAGTTTGTCTTTATCCACGATTTTTGGAACGTTGTCGACCTTAAATTGTATTATTTATATATTATTTATATTGAAATATAAAAATTCACTCTATTATAGCAGATAAATTATGTAAACTTTTAAATTAATTAATTCAATTATAAAAATATTTCATGATTAAAATGTATACTTATGTAACTTTTGTTTCATTTACTAATCTGTAATTTTATATTTTCTATTTTAAATAGAACATAGTTCAAATTATAGTGATACATAAAATGCAAAATAAATAAATTAATTATAAATTTTTATCCTAAAAAAAAAACAAAATAAATTGAAATAAGTATCGAAAAAAAATGATAATATCTGATAAAAAAACAAGTATAAGAATTTAATGTTAAAAAGAAAAAATATAAATTAATAAATTAAAAAAGAGTTAACTAAGTTTTTTTAAAGTTATGATTATAAATTGATGTTAAAATGCAAAATATATTAAAAAGAATCAAATATATTATAAAAAAATAAATATATAAAGAAACTTATTTTTAATGAAATTATATTTCATAAAATAATCATTTTGACAATGCTATGTATTTTATATACACAAAAGTTAGTTGTAAATAGTTTATAATTTATATATTTTTTCTTTTCTTATTTTTCTATAATTCTATATTTTTTTCTTTTATATTTTATATCGTATGTACACAAATAATACAATACGATAAATAATAAATGTTCTACTTCATCTATATTTTCATTATGTCAATTTACACACTTATCGAATAATATATTTAAATATTTCCTTAATTATAAGAAAAAATCTTTAACAAAAATTTCATAATGTAAATATAGAACTAATAAATATAGAAACAATTATATCTTATGACAGAAAATTACATAATACTAGATTGCGAATGTAGAAAGAAGATAATATAGGTATGTTTAATATTTATTATTTAATTAATTTTTACTAATTTTTATGTACTTTTATAGTACAGAAATATACATTATGTAAAGGAATAATAATTAATATGATGTCCAAGTTGGAAAATCAAAAAAATATAACATGAGAATTACTTAGACGCGCATAAATATGTTTAATAGTACTCGATGAAGTAACATAATACAGATAAAAATATTTAATTCTACTTACAATAAGTAATAGAAGGGAAACATAACATTTTAATAAATCTACATTTGAACGCGGAAAAAAATATTCTCAATGATTATTTTATCTTCTTAACAATTTGAATATATTCATATTTATAATATGAGTATAATAATTTTTTTCTTTTTTCTCCTTCTATATTGTTGTTATATACTGATGTTTAAAGTTTATTATTTCATTGTATTCAACAATCAACCTCAAACGATTAAGAAAGAGTTAACAAGAAAAATACATAATTGTATATTTGGTAATTATACTAGTAGTAATTGTTTTATAGGCAAATGGACTTGTTAAAATATTTTGCTAACAGAATGTTATTATATGTTTTTAAATTATTTTAGTATAAAGTATGTACGACACAATCGCGTTCTGGTAACTGACGAACTTTCATAGATCCATCTGCACCACATGAAAATAAACGACCAGCAGAATCGACGTGTAATTGTGTTACACCCTAAGAGAAAACCATTAATATTATTATTTATTATAACATACATTATTGAAATTGAGTTAACTTACTTGTCCAATATTTTTAAAGAAACTAGATCGCGGATGCTCTCCGGGAAAAGAATAAAGCAAAGAATGGACGGTTAAACCCCATATCTGAAAATAATTAATATGAATTATTACATATTAAATATTAATATTTAAATATTATTACTTGTTATTAATATATTTTATAAATATAAACATTTTATAATATGTTACCTTAATATCACCATCTCCTGCTCCACTCACAAAAAATTCTTCATGTGGATCAAGAGCTAAACATTTGATAGCCGATTCATGAGCCTGAAAACGATGTCGTTGCTGTCGTTGTCGAACATCGAATATATTAATATCACCTTTTTTTCCACCGCTAATTAATAATTGATGTTGAGGTGCAAGTATTAAAGAGCTAGCTCCTTGTTCATGACATGTGAAACCTAATAAGTAGAAAGATTAAGATAAATGAACATGATATGCAAAATTTATAACGATTATCGGCATGTTTCAAAAATATAGTAAAAAAAAAAAAAAATGAAACGCACCTTGAATTAAAGATTTATTTTGAGGAAGTAAAGTATCCCAAAGTGCAACATTACGTCCTTCAGAACCATGACCGGCAGTTGCTATTAAGCTACAAGCACCAAGGAAGACAAAATCGGCCGTCACCTTACTATGACATTGATAATTCTGGCGAGAGAAATGAAACAAATTATTTTCATCTAATCTAATTTTTGTAATATGTTTTTTTGTATTATTTAGAGAGCGAAAAAATTAATTAAGTTATAATTAAAAATAAAAATTCTTACGAAAAATGGTCGTGCAGTTCCTTCTCTGCAAGCTACTTGAAATAAACTCAAATGTCCATCAGAATCTGCAACACCAAACTTATTTCCGTGCTGTGAGAAACGTACACGCGTCACTTTGGCAAAAGTGCCTGGTGGTCTAGGAGTTGCTACTGCTGTTTGATGTCCCCATTCCCAAAGAGATACTGAACCGTCTTGAGAACCAGTTAAATCTATTCATTTACACATTAGAGAATTATTATTCAGCAATATCAATAATAATTTAATTGTTTAAAATTTTATTAAAAAACTTTGTTTACATATTGAGTAGTTATATTCAGTTTGAAATTGTTCAAAATTTATAGATAATATACTTACATAATGGTAAAAGTGGATGTGAGGAGATTCTTCTTATACCATCGATTTTATGCTTCAGGATCTGTAGAAATAAAATTTTGAATGTTATTATGCATATAGAGATTATATAATTATTAATAATGAACAATTATTCACAAACAATACGTATGTTACAAATTTTCTTAGAAAAGAAAAGAAAGAACTAACCTATATAACTCTATAAATCTTAGCGCACATATATTAGAAAATGAAAAAAAAAAAAAAAAAAATAGAGGGGCATTAAATGCTAATATATGTATGTATAATACGTATACATATGCATGTATATATATAAAACTTAATATTAAATAACTTAGTATTAATTATATTATGATTCCTGATTGTATATTTTATAAACGTATGCTATCAAGTTTTTTAATATTGTTTTTTTTCGTTGCCAATTAGAAAGTTAAAATTTGAGATTAAACGACCGCTTTTTGGACAGATATATCGATAAACAAAACGTATTGAGTTACATATAATAATAAAATATCCCTTATTTATTTTATACCTTTTCCCCTTTCGAACAATGTACTTGTTTAAAAAGCGTTCGTCTATTGGTCTAATCTAGGCTCGATAGGCTCGCTAAATAGGCTCGATACGTATCTTTTGGGTCCACTAGATTTCCAATTATTTTTTTACTGGTTTCGTATAATAATCTATTTTTAACAAAAAAAAAGAGAGGAAAATTCTTACTGCAAATTTTTAAAACGAAAGCTAGCGAACCCATTTTGGGATTCGAAAAAGAATACTTGATTCTTTTGTTCAAAGTGAATAATTAATTTGAAGGAAAGCATAATAACATAATAATTAGAGGCAACACTCAAGACAATGGCAATCAAAGGGCATCGATTTATCAATGAGATTTTTATACATTCATTAGGCATGCAGTGTTATGAAAAAAAATTTGAGAATCTGAATATTTTTATCGATCGACTTAGCTTATTTACAGTAAATTTACTAATATTATTCTGGTAACATAAAATAATAAATTAATAATTATTCCGTAGAAAAATTTATTTTTTTTTAAAGATGTATAAAATATTAAACTTCAATAAAGTGAAAATCGAATTAATGTATAACAGTTATAATACAGTTATAATAGAAAACTTTTTCATTTACTGTAAAATAATTGATAATGACGATAACAATGATCGTGATGTTGGTGTTAGTGAAGATAGTGATGGTGGTGTAATGTTGATGGAAA